CACAACTGATGGAAAGTAAAGAAGTAAGACAAACCAGTGGCACCCTACAAGTTACAACCACCTGCGTACGGTGCGCCGGGGCTATTTTAAAAGGGTTGAGTTCAGACCTGCCGACCACTTCATTTTTTATTTATTTATCTATTCATTTATTTTAATTTCTTTTTAAACTTTTTTTTCTGGGGGGGGGGGGGGGTAAGCGTTTTTCACACGAGCGCGGGACACATTAAATATTTTCAGCTGGTACGACATTTTGAATTTTGCTTGGGTGTCGGCCGAACTTACTCTTACTCTTATCGATTTTGGACCACCAAGGGATCTTTAAAGTGCGCAACTTGAACGCGGGACCTCCGAGATTTTTCGCCCTTATCCGACAAGGCTAGGTATAGATCTTTCCTACCCTAAGATCAGGGGTGTGGCTGAAAGACAGCAGTAAGAAGGAGCCGAGGAGTAGCAGTAGAACGGCTGGAGAAAGAGTCAGGAGCCCAGAGGGGGCAAAGGAGGTGAGGGGGTGGGGGCAGAAAATGGAGACGAAAGCAGACGACAGAACATTGTTAGAGAACAGGAAAGGGTGTGAAAGGAGAACATTTTAGAGAAGAAAATGTTCCTTCACTATCCGGATTCGAACCCGGGACTTATTGAATGAGAGGCAAACACCGTAATACCTATAGGCCACGAGAGCCCCCACCACTTCAATATATATATATATATATATATGTTAATTTTTTATTCTTTTTATATTAGAAGGAGCAAATCACACCACAGCTCCAGCCAATCACTCCATTACCAAAAATATGGGGTTTTGTTCTTCTAGTCTCAGAATCTTTCCGAAAAATAGAAGCAAGTCTTCACACATGAATGTAACACTTAATTTTGTCTCTCAATAAACACCTTCTTGACAATGTCTGAGAACATTTACCTGGGATGCAACTGTAAGTGTGTTTCACACGCCCTTATCAACTCAACTAAGATCATTTAGGTGGCTGTCTACTTCAACATGGGCCGAGGTGGGGTTCAACATCCCAGTAAACATGATGGAATTGATACACAGTGTATGTGGGAATTGATGCACAGTGTATGTGTGAATTGATGCATGGTGTATGTGGGAATTGATGCATGGTGTATGTGGGAATTGATGCACAGTGTATATGGGAATTGATGCATGGTGTATGTGGGAATTGATGCATGGTGGATGCATGGTGTATGTGGGAATTGATGCATGGTGTATGTGGGAATTGATACACAGTGTATGTGGGAATTGATGCACAGTGTATGTGGGAATTGATGCACCGTGTATGTGGGAATTGATGCATGGTGTATGTGGGAATTGATACACAGTGTATGTGGGAATTGATACACAGTGTATGTGGGAATTGATGCACCGTGTATGTGGGAATTGATGCATGGTGTATGTGGGAATTGATGCACAGTGTATATGGGAATTGATGCATGGTGTATGTGGGAATTGATGCATGGTGGATGCATGGTGTATGTGGGAATTGATGCATGGTGTATGTGGGAATTGATGCACAGTGTATGTGGGAATTGATGCATGGTGTATGTGTTACGGCACTTGCAAATTCCTTAGATCATATGAGCCAGGGACCACAGGACTGAAACCTCTAGAAGGACTCAAACCACAACGCTTGTCAGTCGAGCTTCACATACTTCAACACTGATAGTCAACTCCCTGGAAATCAAGCTGCCTCAAACACCTGTCCTTTAAAAAAAAAAAAAGAAACTGATTGCGTCAACCAAAGCAATCCATCTCCATTGACTTTGTGACAAACTAAAAAATTGTTTTTTTAATGAAAGCTTTTTTATATTTTATGCCCCCATCAACACAATTCGTATGTGAAATCACGTACTAGCGTATCTAACATT